GTAAAGGTGGTAAAACACTGGAACAAGTTTCACAGGCAGGTTGTGGAGTCTTCATCTGTTGAGATATTCAAACTGACTGGACCCAGTCCTGGAATACCTGCTGTAGCTGACTCAGGTTGGGCGGACGGGGTAGACTAGATAATCTCAAGAGTTCCCTTCCAACCTAAGTAATTATGAGTTTGTCAGTATAAACCAGTGCAGGCACACAAAGTCCTTAGGAAGAAATTGAGAAGAGGCAGAGTTCTATATCTTTTTATTTTTCCTGAAATTTTGTCAGGCACTTCTACATATAAACTCAGGAGCAAATAAAAATGGCCTTTTTCGATCTGAACACAACTTAAATAACTTAAATTTACACCCAAACACAACGAACCATAATGGTCCGTAACTTACTTATATTGTATTTGCAAATAAGCATTAAAGACATAAATTGTATTACTTGTGAAAGATTTTAAAAGGTACAGATATTAGTGACCATCCATTCAAAGACGGTTTAATGTAAGATTAAAGTTCTGCCTGCTTGACTCTAGCTTCTACTGGAACAGCTGCGGCTGGCCCAGTGAGGGTAGTGGTTAAGTTTTCAGGGTAAATCGTTAGTCCCCGCTCTTTGTGGTGTGGCCCTAGAAGTTAGTTCTTTGAACTTCTGGCATACCTCTTATCACCACTGTTTTGGCAACTCGTGGATGTAAACTCCTGGCCAGTGCTTCATGACTCCGTTTCTCTTTTCTCTTGTGGGATTGCAGCAGCAGTGACACAAAGTATTAAGTGCACAGATAGGTGAACTATCTGTGAAGTACTTCACACTCCACTGGCCCAGATGTGCATATCTACTACATGTAGATATGTTTTATACTTTTAGGCAATAGTTTGACATCAGATGAATCGTATTTTACTTGTCTTTCTTGTGCAAAAGCTATGCACAAGATAGAATTGATGTTACTTGTTCCTGAACAGTTAGTCATTAAGATCTGTATGAATAAATCATAATGAAGGAGTATTAACAAAGAGCAACTGAGTAGTTAGAAGTACAGTTTATGCTTTAAAGACATACTAAAGCAATGGATGTCATATTAAATTATAAACCTTCAGTAAGTAGTCAATTGGCAAATAAAAAGCTGAAAGGCAAGAAAGAACCAAGCTTTCACATACAAACCAGTTGAAGCAATAGAATACATTTTAAAGAGTAATAAATTACAATCATGTAAAGAACCTTTATAAAACCATACTATTATAGCTGATTATGTTTTGACAGTGTAATAAAACTTTGTAAGGCATGTGGTTTGACTCATTTTGATGATAAAATTTTGTTTTTCTTTTGCAGAAAATGATGAGGTCATCCGTGTTTCATATGTTCATACTAAGCATGGTGGCTGTAGATGTGATTGTTGCTGCTAGTAACTACTACAAAGGAGAAAATTTCAAGAGACAATATGATGAATTTTACCTAGCTGAGGTGAGTATGCTGAAATGACTGTCTGGATATTTTTCAAGATAAGCTAAAGTAGAAAATGGGAATGTCAAGCACATTTTAGTGTGTAATTTTTTTATTCCCTTAAGCATTCCAGGAATTCTTTGCTAACTTGTTCAAGTTCCCCTGTCTGACAATGGCTGACAGCCCTATCTTACAACCTTTTGAAAGGTAATTTCCTCAAACAAAATGTCAGTGGTAATGAGCTGAGGCTTAAGTATAACATCTGCAGGCAATGCATGGCTGTTGCATTGCTATCTTTCTCCAGCAGGAGTGTAACATCCAGAAGAATTTAACTTTAAAAATATGACAAAACACTGTCTTTGAAGAATGTAGTACTTCTTCCTAAATCATCTTTATTCGGCATAAACTTAGCTGCCAGAAGGTCCTTAAACGTAACCAAAAGAGTATTGCAAATAGCCTGGCTTCAGTAATCTCAAGAGAACACTGCAAAAGCACCATTTATTCAGTCATGAATTTGGTGAAGGAGGAGGCAGTGCTCCTGAACCAGTGAAGTGGAGGTAAAAAGTTTCTTTATAAGTGACATTCTGGCAGGAAGCCTGCTTGAGTCATTAGCTGGTCAAACATTTTACTTTAGAGCATGCACTAGAGATCCTAGAAACTTGTCTACATGTCTTTTTAGTACTATTTAATTCAATCATAAAAAAAACCAAAAAGACTTGAAGCCTCTGGTACTAATGTACAGGCATAGCTTCAAATATTTTTTGTTTAGCTTGTTTTTCCTTGTATTAGCTTGTTTTTCCTGAGTCAAGAGTGAAATCAGTATTGTAGCGTTCTTTATTAAAAATAGGTATTTCCACGGGCAATGTGAATTGTCACTTTATCTGAGTATAAAGACACCAGTGCTGAAATTCACCGAGATCAGTTCTCTGAAAGCATTGATCACGGTTGGCCTGGATTGTGCACATGTCTAACCTCATGGTTACTGCAGTTTCCCTGGCTTTGATAATTACGCAGTCCTTCTTTGGAGCCAGAGGAGACATTCTTAGGCTAGAGTGCATGAGAGCACTATATGCCTTGTGATTCCCCTGCCGTTGGTATTGCCTTGTTGGCAACCCATATACCAATGGCAGAGGAATCATGAGTCAAAAAGTTTGATGCTTTGCACTCTTGTGGTTTTAAATGTCTAAATACATTGGAGAGTCAGACTCAAGTGCCCAACTTTAAACCCTTTAGTCCATGACATTATGATGCTTTATGAGTGTCCCTTTTTTCAGGGAGGTTGAGTTGATGCCCGTTTTTTAATTTATCTCAGTTTTAGAATTTGTATCTGATCTCTTAAAATCTTATGAAGCTGAGGCTTCACCAGTTCTGGGGCAAAAATGAAGGCAAAAAAAAATTAAAGGTAGCACCAGAATCCAAACCCTCAAAAAAGTGAAGATTGTAGAGATGTCAGTTCTGCATCATGCTGTCTTGTCTCTCATGCTGCTGGAGATAGCTGTAGTTGGTATGAACACTGAGTAAATGTTGGCCAAGCCAACAATTACAAGAGTAATTGCGAAATGTGTTAACTTCATTTTATCTCAAGTTCTAAGCATATTTGAAAAACAACATGAAAGAGGATGATCCTGGGAATAAGACGTTGGAATACAACCAACAAATGCTGGATTCTCTTATGACACCCCCACAGATTTGAGGATAGACGTGAGGACAGGGAAGCCTGTTTTAATCTTGGTCGCGGTTTAGCAGCAGGCAGCTCAGCCCCACACAGCCATTCACTCACTCTCCCCAATGGAATGGGGGAGAGAATCGGCAGGGTAAAAGTGAGACAACTCATTGGTTGAGATAAAGACAGTTTACTAAGGAAAGCAAAAGCCGCATGCGCAAGCAAAGCAACATGAGGAATTCATTCACTGCTTCCCATGGGCAGGCAGGTGTTCAGCCATCTCCAGGAAAGCAGTGTCACGTGGGAAGATGAACACCATCACTCCAAACATCCCCCCTTCCTTCTTCTTCCCCACAGCTTTTACTGCTGAGCACAACATTGTATGGTGTGGAATATCCCTTTGGTCAGTAGGGGTCAGCAGTCCCAGCTGTGTCCCCTCCCAACTCCTTGTGCACCCCCAGCCCACTCGCTGGTGGGGCGGTGTGAGGAGCAGAAAAGGCCTTGATGCTGTGGAAGCACTGCTCAGCAACAGCTAAAACATCCCTGTGTAGTCAACATTGTTTTCATCACAAATCCAAACCAGAACCATACAAACTATGATGAAGAAAATTAACTCTATCCCAGCCAAAACCAGTACAAGATCCTAGGCCGGAAACAAATAATTAAGTCAGCATTAAAGCCTGAAACCATGAACTTTTCATGGTAGGCATTTTTGCTTTATGCCCAGGATACAGCAAGTGGATTCTTAACAAAATAACATTAATTCTATTTATATTCAAAGTAGGAAACGCTGCATGTGCTATTTCTATTTTGGCACTGAATATATAGTATAATTATGCTTTTATTAATCAGTGCTAGAAACACTCTCTTCAATGTCTATTTCAAGTGTAGGGTTTGGGGTTTTGTTTCCAACAGAAGTACTTGCCAGGGTTTAATAATTCATGATGAGTATGCCATGTAGACTAGTGTATTACAATTCTGTCCTATAAGCAACGTCCAGTTTTATTTAAAGATATATTTTGCTGTTTCTGCATAGCTTAAATTATTGATTTGTTAGTGGGGAGGTTTTCAGAAAACTCATTCATTTACGTTCTGCATGTTTAACTTTCTAAGTATATAAGGTAAATTAGTCTGGAATAGAGAAAGACATCTTGTTTATTTGTAAGACATACTATTTTGATATCCATTTGTTGGTTTTCTTCTTTTTTTTTTTTACCTGTGATGCTTTTACTAGAGACACAATAAAAATCAAAGAAGAACCCCCTAGTATCTTATAGAAGGAGGTGTAAAATACAGCATCAGAAGAGCAGAAGAGTAAAAAAAGTCCTGGGAGAGAGGAGAAATTGATAATCTGGTGTCATTTCCTACTCGGTTATTGTGAAACTTGCTGTTTGCAGCAGACGGCATACAAAGAAATTGTTTTTAAGAGCCTTGAAGAGTCTGAATACTCAAACAATGAGGATTATTCCACAGTGGCTGTTTTGTTTCCTTGGTGAGGGAGACTGGTTGGAGCAGGATGAACTGCTGTTGCTCTGTATTTTCCATCAGACTAGGCTGCAGAAAGCTTTCCTTTCAGAGGGAGCTTACCTGATCAACCAACAGCAGTGGGGATTCCCTTTGCTAAAGGAAATGGCCAGACAGGTTACAGCAAACGTATCTGGCTTTCTGATACATTTTCGAGAAGTCATCTTGGAAGCTGCTGGCTTTAGGGGCAGACATGTCTAATTAAATAGCTCACTTGGTCCATTCTATGGACCACACAATGTAGTGGCCTAGAACTGTAGAAATACATCCACTTAAATTCAGTAGACAAGTTGAAATGAAGTGATTGAGACACCCAGTACCAAGAAAAAAAAAAACTGTTTTCCTTGCTGGAAAGAGAAGACAGACTGAAGAGACAAAGGAGGCAAAGGTTAGACAAGAAGATAAAATACAGAAATGAATTCTAAACCCAGATCCCATTGGTTGCATAATTTTGTATACCCAGTAGTAAATAAGAGGTTCTGACAGGCACTTCAACTTGTATACATCAGCTCTGCAGATTAAGCAAAACCAGACTTTTAAAAGGATGACTCAAAACCCCAATGCGGTGTCTCAGAACCTGGAAACAGTAGAGCTTCGATTCGTTTTGGTAATTGTTATTAAGGATGTTGACTTTACCTGCTCAATACCTAGACAGAATAGTGATGCATATTTTTTTCTATATGCAACTGCCACATTATCTTCCATTAAAAGAAGTTACAGACTGGAAGTCTTACTGGAGACGTGTGAGATTCCTGCAAGTGCTGCTTGAAAGGGTCTGAACACCAGAATTCAAAGCCAGGTGCTCCTACACGCTGCCGCCGAGGTTCCTTTTGCAGTCTGGTCCCTTGCACTGCTGCCTTTGTGTAGCCTTTGCCCTGTCCCGGCTGAAGGAAAGATTCAGTGCTGTGTCAAATCTGGTAGCAAGGGAGGTGCTGGAGGTCTGCGCCCTTAATCCCACTGATCCTGCTCGGAAGAATTCTTGTCTTTCCTGACAGCTTGATAACCTGTCAAGTAAGCCACCGTTACAAAGAAAAACTAACTTGGGTCTGTCACTGTTGGATGTGGGCTGATACTGCAGAGGCTCTGCCCTGCAAAAAAAAATGTCAGGGGGCTCCTGGCAAAAGTTAACGTTGCTGAATGTGGCATTAACACCATCAAGCTTCCAAGTGACTGAATGGGAGGTGGCCCTCAGAGAAGCAGCCCGTTCCTGGTAGATCCTCTTTGGCCTCCCCAAAGCAAAACTGGCAGCCTGGTGGAGGGTGGCTGCTCATGCGTTAACCCTGATTTTTCTCTGTGGGTCTGCTCTGGCTTCTTACGTGAATTTGCCTTTCGCCTGTCTGTACAGCAATGAAAGGAGTTATTTCAGTTTTTAAAAAGTCTATAAAATTGTATTACATTTCACACCTAACAAAAAGTTCTACTCAGATATTCTGAATCTTCTCCTGTAATTAATTGCAAGGAAGGAAAAAAATACAAGCTCTGTCAGCAG